AAAAAAAAAAAAAAAAACAAAAAACAAAAGAAAAGACAGCATGGTCATAAATGCAGATATGGAATTGTGTGATGGCCGTGTGAGGGTCTTTTGTGAACATGTGACATCCTAGCTTGCCATCTGAGTTACTTTCTTGTTGCTGAGGCACAATACCTTATACCTACAGCTCTAAAGAGAAGAGGTTGACTCTAGCTCAGTTTGTAGAGGTTTCAGTCCATGGTCTGCTGGCTCCAAGGCAAGGTGGCATGGCAGGAGAGAAAGAGCTCTTGGCGTGGTGGTGGAAAGCAAAGATCAAGGGAAGAGGAAGGGAGGTTAGATCCACACAGTGACCACCGCCTCCAGCCAGTCTTTACCTTTCAACATCACATTTAGCTATAAGCTCGTTAGTGGCCTAAACCACTAAGTATCAGGCCCGCATGTCTAATCACCTCTCCAAAGCCCCACCGATGAGCACATGAAACTTTGAAGGAACATCAGGATATAGACCATAACACTTGTAATGACTGAGTCTGATGCCTGTAATCTCAGCACTTTGAGAGGCTGAGACAGTAGGACCATGAGTTTGAGCCCAGCTTGGGCAATTTAGTAACTTAGTGAGGCCTTTTCTCAAAAACAAACAAGCAAACAAACAAAAAGGCCCCGAGTTTAATGCCCCATACAGCAAAATCAGTTATCCAATCCATAAAATTAAGATAGCAAGATAGAGACCCTTTTGTTTCATCTTTCTACGAAAAAATGTACCAATAATAGAAAAATTGAAAAATAATGTGATAGAAGAACACCACCAGGAGTCAAACTTCATCTCCAATGAGAGGAGGAAAAGTTACAACCCCAAGTTACAAAAGAGGAAGCAGGTTTATTAGACCATGATGAGAAATAAGGGGAGAGCTTGATGGCTGAGAACCAAAGCAGACCTCTAATCCTCAACAGGATGCTACTTTCTCTCCTTGGGAGAGATGCAGCTGGAAAGACTGTGACCCAGAGGGGCAGGAGCTGGATCTGGAGGGCGTCAGGAGGAGAGGGCCATCCTCGTGAAAGGGCAGCTCGTGAGGGGAGAAGCCAGGTGAGCGGGAGCTGGGCAGCCTCAGCACTGAGCAAGGAGAGGACCAGGAGAAAGGAGCAGGAGGGAAGCAGAGAGGAGACCGCCATCACTCCCCAGGCCTGAGCAGCTTTGTCAGTACCTCCTCCACTAGTGCTGTGTCCCAGGGAAACCTCTCACTGTGAAGGACAGGGGAACTCACTTGCTTTTGGATCATGGAGACAACCAGGGAGAAGGATGAGAAATCTGCAAATTCTTGCCCCTACCATCCCCTGCCCCCTGTCGAAATCAGGTTGGAATATACAAAAAAGAATTTTTAATGGAACAAAAAAGCATAAGTCAGCCACACACAAAAAGAGCATGCAGTGTAAGATAAATCACCTTATTAATAGGCCAACAGTTAAGTCAATATCTCTTCGTGATCTTCAGCAGGTTGAATATTGCCCTTACCCAGTTTGTGTTTTCGCAGAACCTCAGAATGTGACTTTATTAGGAAATAAGCCTTTGAAGATGTAATTAGGAAGATGAGGTCATACAGGGTGAAGGAAGGCCCTAAGTCCAATGTCTGGCATTCTTATGCGAAGAAGAGGGGATATGTAGACAGATGGATAGGGAGACGACATGTAACGGCAGAGGCAGAGGTCAGAGTGAGGCACATACACACCAGAGCAGCAAGGACTTCTGAAAGCCACAGATCCCAGGAAAAGGCAAGGAAGCTTTCTTCTTAGAGCCTTCAGAGGCAGGATGGGCCTGTTGACACCTTGATTTCAGATTTCAAGCCTCCAGAATTGTGAGTCAATACAACTCTGT